AGAACAGGAACCTGCTGTAAAACAGCAATTATGCTGAGTCAGGCTTGATTTTTAGTAATCTTTTCCTGTTAAATAAATAAATCAAATCAATCAGGTGAAACTCTGCCCTGGGATGTGTCTCGCACTCCCGTTGCTTTCTTTAATGATGAGCCACACGCAGTTCATGTGTGTGTTTTAGAGTGAACCACTGACTGGCCCAGATTCATAAACTGCACGATAAACTAAACTCATAAATCTGTTTACCTCTGTGTCTCACAGTAAGTCCTTCACTGGTTTCTTATAGGCTGTTTTTGCACATATTTGCCATCAAAACACACCACGAATCCAGCCGATGATTCATTTCCTCGTGAACCTTTTAATCAGGTACCGAAGCAGTGACGTCACTGATCACATGACTTTTACTAAACGAATCAAGCTCCGACACAGTGCTTCTGAAACAGTGTTGTTTTTTCAATACATGCGCCGAAGCTTCAGCCTCAAACTGCCCGTCACTAGTGAATTTATTTTTGTTAAAATTCAAATAAAACAAAACAAAAGGACACTTTGTGGCTTTTATTGCATTACTTACACATATTATACAGTAAAACTGGTTGTACACAGTAAGGCCACAGCAGGAGTCCCGAGCGTTTGGGTTCAGATCAAACAGAATCTGCAACTGGAGGAAACTTCAGCTCAGAGATTTCAGAGTCCGGGGAGCTGCTGCCGCTCCGGTCGCTGTACATGTCTCTGTGAAAGAAGACCGATGAGCTCGTGGTGTGTGTGTGTGTGTGTGTGTGTGTACGAGTTGATCATAGTTGACTGCTTACCGTGGAGACAGGCGGCAGCCCTTCTGTAAGTAGCTCTGCAGCTTCCCTGCAGCTGCCAGCAGCAGACCCAGGTACGGAGGTGAGGGTTTGATGGGCCGAGACGTGAACTCTGGGTGGTACTGCACACCAACGAAGTACGGATGATCTGAGAATGATGAGAAATAAAATTTAACCTGGATTACTTATTAAAGCTGTTGTAGCATTTTCCTCCTTTAATTAATAATTTCTGATAGGTGTAACTGGTTCCATGACTGCTTAAAGGAAGAGATCAAGATCCACTAACTTTAGACTTTTTCAAGGATCTTGCATGTTCCCTTTGTGCCTCGAATTAGCATATCTTACACAGACTCAACAGACACCATGACGCCTCAGAGGACAAACTGAAAGAATCTACAGTACATTGCCACAAGTCTCTGATGTTTCCACACTCCCCATAAGGAATGCCTCTTTTCTTCAAAGGAGATGGGGTAGGGTCATAAAATGCCTTTAACAAGACTCTTTCAGTGACTGAAACTAAGGAACCCACATTCTTCATTAAAATGTGAAAAAAGGGAGAAAAGATGAAGGAATCTGTATCTAATGTTTTCTGTCTTATTGCAAAGAATGTCATCTAACCCAATTTTCTTACAGCAAAGAACTAAAAAGACCATAAAGGATCTATTAAGTTTTGCTTAGTTAACTATTCAATAGCTGTGTGTATTGTGGTGTTAATTGTTTTTATGAAGTGTTTTTCCTAAGATGTTTCTTTTATTTCTTGATTTAAAACTGTGTTTTAATTACATGATTTAAACCTTAGAGAACCTTAGACTTTGAATTTAACTAAATGTGACATTCTTATTTTACTGAGGTAAACAAGATGTCTCAACCTTTAATTAGATGCAAGATAATTAAACTAAAACACTCCCTTTTCTTAATCTTGAAGTAAAGTTTTTCCCTCCAAAACATTTGATTTGTTAAAACTTGGTGTAATATTTTTCAATTGGCTAACTTAAACCTTGACTCCGCCCATAACAGAGTTTTTAAAAGTTAGTGCAGACAAGGACAGCAGTCAGTCAGTTGGTTTCTCCTTTGAGTCCAGTGAATGCTTTCAGTAGGCCCCCCCCTACTATATTTCTTTTAATTGAATTTTATATGCTTTGGTTGAGATTTTATGTTGATGTTAAATCTTTTAAGCTTTTTTGTTAAAGAATTGACTCTAGAGTGCATATTTTGTGTCCATGAAAAAACTATTACAGAAAATATTACAATATTAAAGAACTGTTCTTGTTAATTTGATGAAAACATTTTAAATATCCAGTGCACTCACATCAGAATAACTTTTTTAGAATAATTGATTAATCGAAAAAATAATCGTTAGATTAATCGATTAGAAAATAATCGTTTGGTAATGGTAGAAACACTGACCCTGATTCCAGCTCAGATCTGTCAGTTTCATCAGCTACATGAACCTGGTTGCCAATATTTTTCCCACCATTTTATTTTGTTTTGGATTTGTTGAAACTGGTGGGACARATAAGGGTTCTGTGTTTAACTGGGTTTTTATGGGCCGTCTAATTCCCACTGGCAGACCTAGTCCGACAGACAACGTTTGGTTTTCTTACCATCCAGTTCTATGACCTCCATCCTCTCGCCTTCCACATCCTGACCAACAAACCGAAAGCCTTTGTCTTCAAAGTGACTCTTCAGCTCTGGATTGACCTGGAAATGAAAAACAAAATAAATGAAGTGTATTTAATTGTTTTTTTTCCTGCAGGACACCCAAGCCAGCGTTACCTCGAAGCGATGTCTGTGCCTCTCTTCCACGTATTCCGCGTCCCCGTAAAGTTTTCCTACGACACAAAAACAGCCGTCAGCGCCACGAGCGGACACGTCGGACAGATCTCTGAACGTTCTCTTACTCAGAACGCTGTTGGAGGTCTTAAAGATGGTCCGTCTCTTCCCCAGTCTCATCGTGCCACCCATCTGTCCCGGGTTGTGTTCCGGCATGTCGATCACCTGCGAGAGAATCAACAACGTGAACTCTCCTGCGTCCACTGAGATCTGAGATGACTGCTGGAGCTGAGAACACCTACCACAGGGTGCTTCGACTCTGGGTCAAACTCTGTCGAGTTGGCATCTGTGTGAGAAACAGGAAGACGATCAGCTCCATCAGGATTACTTTCACTCTGTTTATTAGGAATTCAATAAGGATGTCAATACGGAAATACTTTATAATCAGTGGTGGGCACCAGCCCGCTAAAGCCCAAATCCACTAATTGCGGACCTAATATTTCATTTGCACTTTAGCGGTCTTACTAATTTTTGTAATTCATAAGCAGATTTGCACTTTCTAAAATTAAAATGCAGTACCACTAATAACTAATTATCTACCAGTCATATGTCTGTCAATGAATCACAACACATGTGATCTATCCAACAGCACCCCTCCCAGATAAACACACTTATTGTGAAGGTATACATCCTGCTGACTGTTGCTTTGGGTTACGGTTCTGATTTCCCACAATGCTTTGTGTCTGCTTACGTAGCAGGAAGGCAATATCAAAAACAGTAAACGTTTGTAATCCGTACTAAAATTTTGTACGTATTGATTTATTTTACTTTACAATCAGAGCTCCTTTTAATAAAATAAAGTTTAAACACTGGAGCTCAATACTTGATGTAATTGGTCGAAGCAACGGGGTTAGAGACTCAGAAATGATTTAAAGATGTCATGCTGATGAAGACTGACATCTAGTGGTCAACTGGAGCAACTACATGGAAAACTTTAAAATCCAAGCTCTTATTTTGAAGGGAAGATAGTTTCCTGTACTGCATGCTTTCTTTTCCAGTCACAAATCAAATCCTTCATGTACCCAGAACGCATCGCTTCAGTTTTCCAATAAACAGTTTTAAAATTATTTTATTGATGCTTCTTTAATGAAAAACCTACAACAAACAAAAGAAAAAGACAAAGAAGCAGCCGAACTAGCAATCCTCAACAACTTTTTAATTTTTACACCAGGAGCTAAAGGTCTGTTTCAGGAAATCACATCCCCAGCAATCTGCAGTTGTAGGATTAAGCTGTAAAAGAGTTCATTCACCACTAGTTGGCAGTGTTGTGTATATATTGTACATGGATTATTGTCATCTAGTAAATGTCAAATTGAACTTGTGCTTTAAAATTAGCTTCTGCTAGTTTTTCTATGACATAAGYGTTTCTGAAGTTGCGGACCTAAATAGTTTCAGAAGCACTTTAGAAATTGCGGAGCTAATTTTTGGATTATCGCAGCCCACCACTGTTTATTATTCCCAAAGAGAAACTAAAGGTAGCAGATATCCTGGATTCTTCAGATGCTCAGGGATGTGAGCGGGAAGGAGATCCAAGAACTGAGTCAGGCTTCTTCATCAGCTTGTTGAGCCCTTTAAAGTCACTGGTTCTGGTGCTGCCATCCTAACAGATGATGGAAGAGATTCTGTACAACAAACATAGATCTGCAGCATCTTCCTGCAAACACTGAAGGGTACAGTCTGTCCTTTTCACCGTTCCATCTCCAATCTGATGTCAAGGTGAACCCTGAGGTGTTTATACTCCTCTAATGGCAATAAATCTTTTAATCACACCATAAATTAAAATAAGGTTAATTTTAATTTGTTTTCTTTGTGTCTTCCTCTCTTTTACTCCCTAACACAGGCAGGAGTGAACCCTGCTGTCAGGTATTAGTCAATCCCATTCAAGATAGCTGTCACAGCGTTTTGGATTTTCATTATACTTTAGTTTTATTTAGCAGTGACATTTTTGCTTTTAATTCACTTAGTTTTAATTAGTTTTTAGCATGGATTTGCTAATTTTTATTAGTTATTATTGCCTTTTTAATGCTTAGTTTTAGTTTAATTTAGTTTTTATTAGTTCTAGTATTCTTTTTTTTTGTAGTTTGAAATAATATATCCTCCAGCTTGAAGTGTTCCTGTGAGTTAACTAACCAGCAACTTTTTGATCATCAAAGAAGTCCATTATATTTTGCCAAAAAAAGTACTCGGGCAATTGTTTTAAGMAGGTGACAATAGTTGTATAGATCCTGGTGCTACCTGGCTGGACTTGTTTTTCACAGGAACTACGAAGAGAAGCTGCTTGTCAACATACTCAGTTAATTTGTCCCTGTTCCAGCTATTCTATTACCTGTTTCCACTATAAGACGCTTTTAATTTTCTCACTTTCATATTTAAAAAAATCCCAAATCAGACTTTACTTTCTCCCAACTTTTGTTATCATTTTGCAGGTGAACTCTGAGCAGCAGACTGTAAAACTGTAAACAGGTGACGTTACGGACCATGATGTGCAGTAAGCTACCTACAGTGAAAC